AATGAGATGACTAATGGATTTAGAAAAAAAATCAGTTACATGAAAGTTAACTCGAATGGGCCGGTTTTATAACTATTAGATATACGGCCCAAAAATCTAATAACTTAAAAGAAGGAGAGCCCTAAAAGAAGTCTGCTTCTTAAGCCCCTCAGTCTCTCTGTATTACTCTCTTCTTCTTCTTCTTCTTCTTCTTCTTCTTTTTCTTCTTCTTCTTCTTCTCTGTTCTTTGATTTGAATTTACCTGGTAAGACACAAGAAACATAGCACTGGACAAGGAAAACTTAGTTCTCAAGAGAATTAACAGAAAGTAAATATACAAGGGCAATTGTTACGTAGTATCCAGGCGCATGGAGAATAAGGATCCCAATGCCGAATAATCCAGAGTTGAAGAATCTCGGTTTGAGATCTTCAATGTTCCAATAAGGATTTTCATCTTTGAAGTTCCTAGTTACATTTAGGATCACACACACACAGCTCCCTGCTGATTAACCGAGCCTAATCAAGCTATTCGCTAAGAACTCCCCGTTCCCAAACACACTCCACAGATATGCTCTCTTTTTATCTCCAAAATACCTTAGTTGTATACCTAGCTCTCTGCCTTTGAATGCTCAAAAAGAGTAACTTCAAACGTTGTGACTGATCTCTTCTTATATCTTGAATTCTTCAACGTCTCTTTTTATAGCTTCCTTCTTTGGCTTGAATACACAAATGGTAGGATGATAAAGTCTCGGGAGCCTTCCATTTTTAGCTTGATGAACCGTTATGTTGCTTGTGTGGTTATTGTCTGAGCTTCCTTCAACATCTTCTACATAGTGTACAATCGATGCGAGGATCTACAAGGCCTTTATTTTGTGTTGCTATGATTTGAAGTCGGATTATATGTCATTGACTAAAAGTCACGGGGTCCCACTGTTTTCGGCCTGGTCTGTAACCTTTTCTTTCCATATTGAATTAGGGTTAGTCTGTCTGGAAAAGATGCTATATATACCTTCTTAATCTCTGTATATGAATCTCCTCAGGTATAGTGAAACTAGTCTCTTCTACCCATGGATTAGCTAACACATATTTTGTAAGTGAACCACGTAAATATGTATTTTATGTACTTTCTAACATTTTTATTTCTCATCCTTACAAACAAGTGGTATCAGAGCCGAGGTTGGAAATTAGGATTTTCAAAATTCAAGAATGATTTCATTCAATATGGAGATCTAAAAGTTCACACGAAAGAACAGTTTCGGTATATGGAAAGATCAAGATGCAAAATCCATTGATATTGAAGTAGCAAGGGTTATAAGACCCTCAATCTAGGGAAACCGAAGGAGACAAGGGTTGATGACGAAGAATAGAGTACCTTGAGGGAGAAGGCCCACTAAAAAATCATGCTTTTGATGTCCGATAATGTCATCACTGAGGTTGCTACTAAGAAAGATATTGTTGGATTGTGGTTGAAGCTCGAAAGTCTTTACATGATGAAGTCTTTAACCAACAAGTTTCATATGAAACAATATTTTCAGCCTACGTATGCAGGAAGGTACACCGTTTAGGGATTATCTTGAACAACTGAACAACATCTTGGTAGATCTTCATAAAATAGATGTTAAAGAAGATTACGAAGATGATGCCCTAATTTTGATTGTATCTTTGTTGAGTCAATATGAGAATTTTGTTGACTCTTTTATTGGTGGAAAGATAATGTGTCTCTGAAAGATGCTAGATATGCTCTTCATAGTAGAGAGATCTGACATAAGGCGTTTGGTCCCGATCCACATCCAAGAGATGCATGTCATCACTGTAAAGATAAGAGGTATAAGAAATACGATTGTCCTAGGAGAAAGGGGCATCAAAAGAAAAAAGGTTATGTTGACATAGCAGAAGCTGGCACTAGTTTTGAAGACGATCTTGCCTTAGCTATAGATGAAAAGCTGTATTGTAAAGATGTGTGGTTCTTTATACTACAAATCTTCTAACATATCTCTGAATAAAAACTATTTTTCAACCTACAATTAGATAGATGGAGGAACATGGTTATGACTAATGGAGTTGTCTTCAAAGCAATTAGAATAGGCTCCATTGGAGTACGAAGACATAATGGTTATTCAGTATTGTGAATGAAGTTAGACATGTATCACAAATGACCAAAAATTTAATATATTTAAGTATACTAAATAGTAAGGGTTTCATATTCAAAGGAGCAGGTGCAGTTGTGTATGTATGCAAGGGTTCAAAGTAGATTCTAAAAGGTGTGAAATGTGGTACCTTGTATGCTTTGCAAGGTTCTTTGCTGTCAGGTTTTATTGTATTGCACCATCTGAAGTACAGAAAGAAGATATGGCCATTATTTGGCACGTGAGACTTGGTCATATGAGCGAAAGATGGATGAAAATTCTGTCTAGGAAGCTACATCACAATAAGATTATGTGTTTAGGAAGTTACATCACGGTAAGATTTCTAAGAAGGGTATTCATCAGATGGAAGAGATACTAAATTACATTCATTCTGATTGTTTGGGGTCCTTCTATAGTTATGATGATTACTCGCGACTTAATTGAGTATTTATGATGAAGCATAAAAATGAAAACTTCAAGAAGTTCAAGCAATGGTAGGCGCGAGTGGAGAATCAGACAAGAAAGAAGATCAAAAGACTTTGTACTGACAGTGGTATGTAATAATGTAGTTCTGACTTTAACGAGTTCTGCAAAGATGAAGGGATTGGTTATCATGGGCATGTTAGAGATACATCACAACATAATAGAGGGACAGAACACATGAATCATACATTTTTGGAGAGAGTAAGGTGCATTCTCTCTGATGTTGGGTGGGCAGAAGCAGTAAACGTGTCATGCTATCTTATCAACCATGGACCTCACAAGTTGTTGCATCGAAGCATGGTTCGGATCCAAGACGGTGTATTTCAGGGTGGACCCTAATTCTGAAACCTCGATATCTGAGACCAACATATGGTGGATCAAAATTTGGCGAATTAAAGATTCCACTTGGCAGATCAACGAAGATCTGCATCTGGTAAATCCTTGTGTCAAACAAATTCTGCGATACAAGGTGTCTGGCTAATCTAGATAATCACTTAGTGGAATTTTGGGACTTTGGAGCCGAGGGTACACGTATGATAGCCCGAGACCGGGTGACCAGGATTATGATAGAGTCGTGAACAACGTTCACTTTCCATAAAGAATATTTCCACCTTCAACAAGCCTAGGTTTAATGGAAATTTCTTCGTAGGATAAAACTATCACCACTTTAGAATCTAGGTTTAAGAAACTAAAACATATTTAGAAGTTTAGTAAGGAAGAAGAATGGGTGTTTTTCATGGTGTGTCTCTCGGATTCACTACCCGTCTCATTTTATAGTGATGAAGCACCACATGGAAAAACATTGCATCGCTTTATGAAATGGTTTGTCGGCTTAACTACCCTCCCAAACCTTACCATTCCAAACGATGCATGGCATCATTTTTGGCCATGAAAATGTCAATCCACCATTCCAAATGATGCATCCCTTCACAAAAGAGACAATGCATCACTTCATGCAATAATCTATTCCTTTAACTGCCAACCCATTCCATTTAATTGAAACATGCTTGGAATCATAACCGTCGTCTCATTTCAATTTGAATGAAACGTTTCTTCTCTATAAAATGGACCATGTCTTGGCCAGGAGTCACGTTGGTTCAATTTGGTTGGTTTGGTCATCCATTCCAAATTTCCAACATGGAAGTCACGAAATTCGTGGACGCTGTCTTGAGCGGAGGATTGTTATTGGACAATCCATGTAGCACATTGTATATACAAGGCAAATGATCCTTATATACAAGTGTACACCAAGCTTATTAGTATGAGACTTTTTAAGAGTATATCCAAAATGGACAATCCCACACTAAAAGAACACCTGATCTAACATCTTGAATGTTGAGCGTATTGGCGACCCACACCAATCCTTACTTCAGTTACTCTCATGTCCCTTGATGAGATTGAAGCTAGAGAATGTGCTTGGATTTGTTAAAGGCCGCCTATGTTATCAAGAAAAAGGCCTTTGCGACAAATGCCACGTCGTATAGTTTTCCCGCATTTTGATTACAAGAAAAAATCTATGAATTCAATTATTCATGGTCTTTCTCTTCCCTTTTCTGGTTGAAAATTGTGTTCCAGTGTTTTTATTTTTCGTACTCTGTAGGAAACCATCGCGATGGCTTCCTCGCCATCGGCTTCTTTGCCGGCTGGCGAGTGTTCTTGGTCTCCGTCATCCTAGGCAAATCTATTCTCGGTGGCTCTGGAAAGGAGACTTACATATCGCCCACTTGAGAGGGTTAAAGATGGTTTTCGAATTCCACAGGCTGTGAAGGAGAAGGGCGCTGAGCGATGGAAGATGTCTTTAATTGGGCAATTCGTCGGGAAGCATCCTAAGGTTGCGGAGCTGCAGTCGTGGGCTAACCGGCTTTGGGGGAGGGATGGATGGGTACGTGTTTCACGATTTGGTCCTAAGATGTTGGTATTTCAATTCCCATCGAGTTCTTCCTGTGACTGGGTTTTTACATCGAGGCCTTGGCATCTCGGGGGAAATCCAGTTTTCTTTCGTAAGTGGGAAGTGGGTCTTCAGCCTACTGAGCCAAAGGTCGAACCCTGCCTATCTGGGTTAAGATCTCGAGATTGACTTTGGAATATTTGGGACATGATGGAATTGAGTGGATTGCTAGTACTATGGGGAGGCCTCTTTGGACTGATCAGAAAACTAGGGTTGGAGATCAGTTGGGGTTCTCGAAGGTCTGTATTGAGTTGGCAGCTAATTTTGATTTCCCAAGACAGATTAGGTTGTATCCGGATGATGACCCTGATTTTGAGATTGGGGTGGAGTACTTACAGCTCCCGCGAGTTTGTTCGAAATGCTGTTTGTTTGGTCATAGTTGCCCTCAAGAGTCTGTTAGAGAATGGCGAGAGAAAGAGAGGGTGGATCTGGAGGTATCGAAGGAGGTGCTAAATTCATCTGATATGGATGCTAGGATGGTTGAGAATAGTGAAATTGCTCCTGTATATGGGGGGACTGTTGAAGCCGTTGAGGATGTTGGGCAAGAAAAAGAAGAGTTGGTGGAAGAGCTGACTATTCACGTGCTGACTGATAATAGATTGGTTGCAGACTCTACTGTGGTTGTTTTGCACATTGAGCCTGCTAAAATTCAAGCTCCTACATCAATTGGGACCTCCCTCCCCCCCCCCCCCCCCCCGAGTTTTGCTCAGGTAGTTACGGGATCATCTCCTACGGGAGGGAGTCCTTCTACTACTAAGCAGGTTGCTGAGTCTGATGAGTCGCCAGTTTCTGGGAACTTGCAGCTCCAGCAGGCTCAGAGGGGAATATCCAACGAAAAAGAGAACATTAAGCTACAGATAAAGGAAATAAGGTTTGGATTGACTCTCCGTTGATCCCCTATCAACCGAGGAAAGGAGGTAAGGGTGGTAGAGGTAGAGGAAGGAAATGAGAATTATTACCTGGAATACTAGAGGGTTTAAGGCAGATAGTAAATATATAGCTTTGCTTAAGAAAATAAAAAAATACAATATAGATATAGTAGTTGTTCTTGAACCTAGAATAAGAGCCTCTAAGACAAATGAGTTGGTTAAGAAGCGGTTTCGAGACTGGGAGACTAAGATAAAGCATAATGACTCTAGTTTGGGTAAAATATGGTTGGCTTGGAGGAAAGATATTCCACTCACAGTTCTGCATTCTTCAGATCAGTTTGTTCAGTTTATGGTAGGGGGTGCCAAGCCTTTCTTTGGGACAGTAGTGTATGCAGCAAATGATGACACTCTCAGACAAGTTCTATATAATGATTTAAGGAGGATCCGAATAACTGCTGCTCCCTGGATAGTGATGGGAGATTTTCATGATATAAGGAACCCTTCTGAAGCTTCAAATTCCCCTAGAGTTTATGCATCTATGACCTATTTTAATGATTGGATTACTGACTTAGAGTTGGAGGAGCATCAGGCCACTGGTCCTTGGGTTACCTAGCTAAACAAACAGGCAACCAACCCTATTGCGAAACGCTTGGATAGAGTTTTGGTTAACTTCTCATGGTTGGATTTAATTAAGGACAGTAAGGTTCACTTTCAAGCTCCAGGAGTATCGGATCACTGCCCCATGTATGTTGACACTGATGCTGAATTGAAGTCGATTCCAAAGCCATTTTAATTCTTTAAATTCTGGATTCAACATCCAAAATTTTATGAGTTACTGGAGGTGTCTTGGAGGAGTAATGTTACTGGACATCCATTAATAAGAGTGAGTCAGAAACTGAAGAATCTAAAAAATCTATTAAAGAAACTGAATAGAGAAGAGTTCTCAGATTTTTCTGAAAGAGTAAAGTAGAAGGAAAGGGAGGTTACTGCCATTCAGCAACAGGCTCTTAATGCTCCAACTACAGATCTGTTTGAAGCAGAAAAAAAGCTGGGATTGGAGCTGAAGATACTGATGGATGCTGAGGAAACTTTTTACAAGCAGAAGTCTCGTGAGAATTGGCTCAAGACAGGGGATATGAACTCATCATTTTTTCATCGTGTAGTGAGAGTAAAGCAGAAGAGGAGTACTATCAGGTTTCTTAAGAATGAAGAAGGGGAAAAAGTTACTGATGTTGAGGAGATGGCTCAGATTGCAGTAAGGTTTTATAAGAGGTTGTTGGGGGTTGAGGATCCAGAAGTTGTTACTCACTCTGATGAATACTATGAAGCATTGTTGAGAAGGAAATTATATGAGGAGAAACTGGTGGACTTTGTGACCCTTTCACGTATGAGCAGATAAAAGAAGTGATCTTTGCGATGGATGGTGATAAGAGTCCAGGTCTAGATGGATTCTCAGCAGCTTTTTTCCACTATGATTGGCCTCTTATTGGTCCAGAGGTATGTTCAGCTATCAAATTCTGTTTTGAGCAGGATAGAGTCCCTAGGCCAATTAACGCAACTGTCTTAGCTCTTATTACAAAAGTTGCTAATCCAGATGAGATGAAAAGTTTTAGACCAATTTCATGTTGCAATATACTATATAAATGCATCTCCAAGCTCATTCAAATAGACTTAGTCCCCTTCTCCCTTCCTTGATTAGCAAAAACCAAACAGCATTTGTCAAGGGAAGACTAATTGGAGAGAATAATCTATTATATGGCAAAGCTGGGTTAGCAACATCTTGAGAGAAAGATGTCGTCGTTTGTATGCTGGCAAGGCACTTTCCACTGCTGCGCTGCTGAAACTTATCAAGAATGAAGTGGAATGTTTTCTGGGAAGTCATAGAGTTAGCCAATTTTGGGGTTGAGAAGTGGTGGTTTGTCTTAGAGAGTCTTGTTGATTTGGTTTGATGCCTATTTTCGGTTAACATTACCTAGTTAACAGGGTAGTTGTTAGCACTTACTTTTTTGATGAAATGAAACCCATCGATTCATAAAAAAAACTGTTCCAGTAGTAATTGACAATTTGGAATTAACTTATACTAATAACTACCACTTGGAGGAAAAAATGGTGATTAATCATGACTACTTAAACCCTACTATCATTTATAGAGGTTTGGTTATACTTAATTAATCAGTTAATGGAACAATTAATAATGAGTCTTGATCATCTACAAAATAAATAAAGGCCAAATGAGAAAACTTGAAGCCTCATTTCAAAGTTCCTGCATCCAGAGTGAAAGTAGGAAGGACATTTTGGGTTTAGGAAATACCCGCCCCATGATACCGCCCACGCCTATATAATATAATTAATTTTTCTAGTATATTTAATATTCTAAACAACTAATTTTCTTTATGTTTGTGGAGACATGTCCAATTTTTTATTTCTAATTGTGTAGAATGAAGGTGATATTATGGAGTGGAGAGTAAAGAAGCCTAATTGACAAGGAGGAAGAAGCTTTCAATTAATCATGTTCTTTATGAATAATTTATGATTTGCTTCAATTTTCTTGAGTTTTCTAGATTGGTGTTGAGCAATTTGTATGGTTAATTTGTGATTTGCTTGAATTTTCTAGAATGGTGTTTTATATATGGATAATTTGTATTGAGAAATTGATATTTGTCTTTTATTTTTATAGGAACTTGTTATTGTTAATTTTTTACGACAAAAACCCATGGGTACCCATGAACTCGCGGATATCCAGCGGGTTGGGTTGGATTTGATGTTTCCAAACCCAGTGGGTTTTACCCCGAATTTTTTCATGGATAAACCCATGGGTTTGGGTTTGGCAAAACCCGACCCAACCCGACCATTGCCATCCCTAGGCGTGAGCCTTCTTCGGATTGATGGGCCACTCCACATCACCAATTCATTATTCTTATACACTAGCTTATTACCCGACCATTGGCCGGACGTAGTCACGGAAATTGACACTTAGATTCTAACTGATATTATCCGTTAACATGTATGCGGCGATGGCCGAAGGTAAGTCAACAACACCATATATAATAATATGATGAAAAGTCATTATCCCATTGCATTACAAAAGAAAACTGTAAAAATTATAAACACTATAATGGACAATCCAAACCAAGCCATTAGCCTTAAATATAGCCACTATTGCCATGCAACATGATGCCTCTGGAGTGAACATGGAAAAACGAAAGGAATGCTTACCTGCTCCAATTATTGATGGTAAAAATGGAAGCCACCAAGAGATTTCATAAGAAAAACACAATCTGGATTGTCCTTAGACCAAAAACCACAATGACACCAAAGTCAATAAATCCCTGGCCGAGAAAACAAAAAACAGCAATGTCCAAATCAAGTCGATGGAATGCGTCAGCCAGTTTTTTCTGATATATAGTTTTGTTAATTAAAATGACAGAAAAATATAAAGAATGCAATCTGTTGTATAAATCTCATATATAAACAAAGAAACAACCAAGCAATACATGCGTGGAAGCGCCAACACATAATAACTTTTGTCACTATCCCTACCACTGTGAAATCCTACCAAATCACTACTAACCACTCTGCTATACTAAACACACAAATGACTAGCTATGTACTTTCTATCACTTCAATTTATATATGTCAATCGTCATTAACCATCCCCGTTATCACGATTGTTATCATTTTTTACAGAAAACACACTGATTGGTCCACTCTTACTCCTTCTCTTGGCAGCTACATGGCATTTTGCATCAGTGCACATTAATTGAAACGACCATTCCTTGCTGCAATTTATGGCTTGGAGTAATATCACTTCAGTCATAATACAAATTTACATGAAATGAAAGGAATGATCATTATAATAGCCTTGTAAAATTAGAGTACCAATGACGATTCCTCTCTTCTCCTCGGTTTCTTCATTAATAAAATGAGACGCATCCTATTTGATCATAGTATGGCCTTTTGTATAAACCATTTCTGCCTTACCCATTTTCGCATCACAACTCCAAGGCTAACTTGTTGGGGCTCTCCTCTAGGTAAACAACTTGTATCAACATCATGCATGAAAACAAAAATTACTTTGGTTGAGATACTATCAGGATCTTGTGACACTCTAAAGAAGGCCAAACCGTTTCTCAGGCATTGTCAACCCCCAATTAATTTGACATAGGTCATTCCTCTCTTACCATCTAAATTAAAGAGGAAGCTCAAGTTAGCCTCTTTTATAGCTTAACTTGACAATTTCTTAGAGGAGATACAATCACGATTCACATTGTAGAACAGCCACCACGGATAATACAATCTAATGTAAACAACAATAATGAAGCACCTAAATTATAATTTAGTACATGTTTCCTATGAGGGTGTGCATGTGAAGATTAGAAAAATATAAGGATTAAGGAGGGAGCTTAATTGGCAAGCGGTTTTGATGAGCAAAAATTGCGTTAATAAATTCCAGGTGGATATGTCCAATCGTTCGGGTCTAGACATGCGTATATATCAACGTGCTATACTACAAGCACAAAGTGTTCGATTTGTCCTTCCCATGCCAACATAAGCTCACCATGTATTTATTCCTTACAGAAAGAAAGATATCAACCCATCTTGTATTTGCTCCAATTATCGCTATCACTCATGCTTTTTATATTCTAGTAATTAGAACCCCACTTTTAAATCTGGAGGCAAGTGACTACTATCACAGAACATCATATTGTAAAAACTTATATGAAATCATGAGGTTATTTCACTCAAAAGAAACCATGTTTTATATGTTGAAGATCAACATTATAGCTTGAATAGTTCAATTCAGCAATGATCTCACCTCTTACATATAAATTTTGTGTAAAAGTGGTATGATTGAAGCTATTCCCTATGTTAACACTAATCAGAATAGTCTTTGTTTACTGGAAACTAACCACAAAAATATTTCAAATAAGAAAAATGATGATACCGAAAAGGAGTATCATAACAAAAACAACAAAAAGTATAGCTATTTACCTTTCATCAACTCAAAAGTTAACATAGAAGAT